AGACATCTACACACCCACACAAACATTAAAGTATTAATAGCTCTGACGTCAGGAACTCAACTGTGGATAATGATTGTCAAGTACACTCCACCTTAATGACACTCAAGATCCAGCATGAATACATCTCCTCATAGACTCAGACAATAATGATACTAAACAGCCATAATCACACCACACAATGAGCTACTGATTACACCACACACAAGCAAGCTCTCACTGATGCATATGAGAAAGCCCCGGCTAGCAGTCCTTCACTCTGTTTTACATTCTACAGGGGGATTACTCTAAAAATGTCTCTCCATGTCATTTTGCAGTTTCTAAAATGCAGAATTCTGAACTGCATTTGCAATCTCTTTGCTGGTCCCTGATACTGTCCAACCACAGCACAGATTTAAAGTGGTTCATATCTCTAGAGAGTAAAGCCAACCTCTATCTGTCCTGAGTTTGCCTTTTAAGGCCACGCTGACTGGTCTAAGTAAGACAAGCTGCATTATTTATCCACTTCAAACTGCACGAGTGATAAGAGCAGGTGTGCTCTAGCAGCAATTTCCTCTTTTCCTCAAACAGCTCTGACCACAGTGCAGGTTTCATGCCTTTTGGACCCAACATTAAGCACAATGATAAGAAACATTGTTCTCAAATATCTTAAAGGGCCCATATTATGAAATAAAATTCAGTTCCAAGTCTATACATTCCATATATGGGAAAAAAGCTGTCCATTTTTAATTCACTATTTTTGTGATGTCACAAAAACCAATACATGTACATATAATCAGACGCAAACGACTGTACACCCCCAGTCAAATGACATATGATTCTGTAAGTTAAAAGAAGTAAACACATCCTCTACAGAAAGCACTCTTAAATATGGCTTTTTCTGTACATTTCACTGTACAATTTCTATTTATTTGTTGAGTTTAACATACTGGAAATAAACTAATAAACTAATAAAATGCACATAAAATATATAATGTGCCATGAATTTTGCACAGAACACATTTTTTCCAATATGTTAAATCCAGAAAATACACACTAATTGTGCATTAAAATGTGCAAAGATGTAATTAGACCAGGGTGCCCAAACTTTTGCTATCCTCCTATTCAGCCTATGGCAGTTTAGCCCTGCCCATTCAGACTAGGTGTGTTTTGGTGTAAACCGCTCTTAGAATGATGCACAATACAGGGCAGCCAAGTAGAACAGAGCTCATTTACATAGATCAGTCTTAATGGCACAGTTACAAAAACAGCCTGTTTAATTTTTAGGGGATACACACAGGTTAGACAATGCTCATGTAAAAAAGAATGATCACTGTCATATGTGGATATGTGGAGGGAAAATATAATGAAAAAAGAAGTCACATGTAGGCTATGGGCTCTCTAATATCACACACTTTATATGACTCCACATTTGATAATAAACATCAGCCTAGAGTGAACTGAGTAATTATGCTACTGGCTGTATATTAGACATAACTCACTTAAACAGTGACAATAACAGTGCTTGTTAATTAAACCTGGCTAGTAAAGCTGCATAATGAACGTCTGCTTTCCCTGCAGTCGTATGAAATGAAGAGAACATGCTGTTCTGATGCAGTGCAATCTTAGAAGACACTGATGATCAGTGATTTGTAGTTTACAACCATAATGCTGACATACAATAATAACATTTATCATTCATTACACTCATTACACTCCTTCATTACACATGAAAGGAAATACCAGGAGACATCCATAAGCATCTAGAAATTACAATACCTGAAGCCAGGGCTGCCATAAAGTATATGTCATATTATTTTTCAGAGGTTTTGAGGGCAATTTAACACAGTATAGACCAAATCATACAATTAGACAAATAAACAATTAGAATACAAGTTTCATAGAACATATACGTTTTGATGCTATGCGTTCTAGATGATGTAGGATGCTTGTGTCTGCAAAACAATGTTTTGAGAAAAGAAAAAGCTTTGCATTTCAAAATTTTGTCTTCATCACCATATTTTATGATGTTTAAAGGAATGTTCCAGAATTTTTCAATCTAATCTCTGATTGATTATATGCTACTGCCATGTCCCATGTGTTTTCTTTTTCTTACAAAGGAAAAGAAAACCTGTTAATTCAAAACATACTTACAGTACTGTGCAAAAGTCAGAGACCACCCTAGTCTCAATATTTAATTTCCAGCCATTAAGTACAAGTTTTTCATTTTTCAGCATTGGGAAACATTTGAAACATTTGTTCAAAAAACATTTCTCAATTGACAAATATTGCAAAAATAGTAACTTAATGGGAGAAGACAAAAAGCTCCTTAATGTTTAATGTAAGTTAATGTACAGAAATTTTATTCCAATTAATTTTGAACCATTTCTATTGGTCCATTCATCATGAAATTTTCATACAATGTAAAGGGCAGTCGCAGTGTTCCAATGATATACTTAACAAAAAATAAACAGAAACTGATGAAAATATATATTTTTTGTAGTATTTTTAGTGTGTCCACACTTCACCTTTATAACAGCTTCCAAATAATTTCCCACATTTCCCACAAGTTCAGTCTTAGAAGTTGGGTAAACTTTCTGCTTTTCACAATCCAAATACTCCAAAACACATTCATTAATGTTGAGATCTGGACTCTGCTTGATGACAACTACACATCCTTTCAGACCCACAGTGTTGTGTTGTCTTTTCACAGTGGAAGGACGGACAGAAACACCTGCGGATTTTTTCAGATATGAAGCAAGAGTGGAGCTTGATTTTCTCCTCTCTCTCAGAGATGAAAGCTTTAAGTACTGTTTATCTGATGGTAACAGATACCATCTGATGGTTTTGGTAGTTTACCAGGTCTAGCATGGTTGTTAGGAGTCCCATTTCCTTCCAATAATTTTTGTATGTGTATCTTTGTATTTGTATACTTTTTGTATCTCTGTATCTTCCAGCAATTTTTTGACTTCCCCCTTTCTTGTGCAAGTCTACTCCCCTAATAAATACCTGTACTTAATGGCCACTTTGACTAGAAATAATAAATCAAGGGAAATCTCTGACTTTTGCACAGCACTGTACAACAGAAATCAGTGGGCAGGCATCTGTGGGAACCCACCATACAGATTAGGTAAAGTTAATGTATTTATACAAATGATGATTAAATCATCATGCATCTTCATTCCAACCTCAAATGTTTTATTTTATTTTTAAATACAAATATTTTATAAATGTACATTTAATGCTTTTATTTGTCTGTGTTTATGTGAAGCTCTTTGAATTGCCACTGTGTATGAATATACAAATAAACTTGCCCTGCTGAAACTTTACGACTCTCAAAATCAGCTTCATTTCATACTAACGGGCAGGAAACCTGAAATGCTAATTTGAATCAAAACTTTCTTTTCTCTTTGTTTTAAGTACGTAATCATATTTAAATGGCTGAAAGCTGTTGCCTAAGTCAGAAAAAGTCTCTGACGCCCCCGGCGGTTTTGATGGGATGCCATGGCCTTGAATCCATCACAAAGGATTGAGTCATTTAGCAAGACGCTGTAGGTACATTCAGACACTGTTCTATTCAGCCCTGCTGCCTTTCAACCTCTTTCTCTCCCTCACTTTCTCGCACATTTCAGCACCACAGCAGAGGACAGCTCCCTCTGAGCACATTTTAACTCTGCACAATGGCCACATTGAACACTGGCACAACAGCGTTCTACGGTGAATAAGTATTCAGGCATTACAGCTGTATAAAAAGGTACACGCAATACATGTCTGTTGTTCTATAGAGTGCTTAGACATAACCCGCTTTTCTCTCCTTTTTGGACGAGCTTTGAAAAATTGGTGGATTGGTGGTACCATTTCTTCTTTTCCAGCGCTACATTACAAACAGCTGAGGTTGTCATTCCATGAGTGCTTCTTTTATGAGGTCTTGTACAAGCAATAAGTAATAAGATACTTGTTAAACAAACACACCTGGCCACCTGGCGTATGATCTCCATTTACTATTCATTTTACTGAGCACTCAGAAATTAGAAAACACAGTCAGTAGTGCCTTGAAATTAGAAATGGGTATGAGTTACCGTGTTGCAGTGCTAACAGCTTGTTTATCACCAGTTTCAAAAAATGTTATTCGTTTATCGATTTATGTCATGCAAACCACAGCAAGACTAGTATTCCCACACATAATGTTGGGTGATGTTGCATTACATTAATACCACAACAACGTTAATGTCGTAGTACATTAATACCACAACAACAGGTTTCAAACATCCAACAAAACAGCTTCAGGTCTTAGGAAAAACACGAGTGAAATCATGTCTCAGCTGTGGTAGGCAAACCGGGCTGTTTCATACAGCCGCAGGCAAGACGGCTTTGGAGAAGAATGCATCAGGCTAAGCAGCTACAAACTCTGAGATGATACACTTGGTGTGACATTTGCTGTTCTTCATGATAAAATTATTTACAGTTTCATGGCTAAATTGAAGATGACAATATATTACAACTACAACTTTTTTTGGTCTCAACTCATGTTATAACCACATTTGCTCCCACATCCACTTTAAAGGTGGGACCCATCTCAAAATTACAAAACGTGTTGGTATTATAATTATTTTTATTATTAGTAGTAGAAGTTCTCTGTGTGTCTGCCCTGCGATGAACTGGCAACCTATCCAGGGTGTTTCCTGCTTTCCGTCCAATGACCGCTGCAATAGGCTCCAGCACCCCCCGCGACCCAGAAGGATAAGCAGCTTAGACAATGTGTGTGTGTAGTAGTAGTAGTAGTAGTAGTAGTAGCTGTACAGTGCACCAGCAAAACAGTATTGTCACATGACACATCAACATTTTTAATCCAGTGTTTGCAAAAGTTAAACATATACGAAGGACTAGACAGAAAAATTAAACAGAAGGTAAAAATTATAACCATCACATATTCAGTATTGCGTACGTTAATTTATAATGTTATCATCATATTGGCCACTGCTACCCCTGAGCATATGCTGTATAAGAACAGAACAGTCACTTACCTGTCATCATTCTGAAAAGACTGATCTCCCAGCAGCAAGTCTCTGAAACGGTAGCGTGGAGGTAGTGGAGGAACCTCTGAGTCCACATCAGCCATCTTCAGCGTGGAGATGTCCAGGATAACTCCACTGTTACTGATGCTGTTCTTCTGGGTTGTCTCTGCAGATGACCTGAGGTGAACCATACAAAACAGTATATAACGGAGGAGTAAATCTCTGAACTTACAATGTTTGATTCATGATCGCATCATGAACTTTCAAATTTAACCATGATTGGATTTGGATTACTTTGGTATGATTCAGAATTATATTCAAAAATGCAGCAAATACACATTTGTGAGTGGAGAAAATCTTTGATACAGTAGTGGAATATAGACAATAAAAACAATACATCAGGGTTTTTTTTGTTTGTTTTTTGCATTTGAAGCTTAAGATTTTATAGCTTTTCTTTGGCCAAAAAATAAACTAAAATTTTGCATCCCTAGCTGATAAACAAACAGAAGTGCTCTGCTTAGCTTGTTTGATCTATCCAGAAGCCGCAGCGTATGCAAGAGGGAACAACAAAGCAGAAATTCTGCATGCGTAACCTGCCGGTGGTTTTATATTCCCAGCCTGAACCATGTTCAGAGCCTGACAGTGACATATGAGGCTAAGTATTTGCACATGAGTTGCTACTGATCCATGTTCTCTGCCTTTGTACTCCATGACAATTTCATTAAGGTGAACATCTGAAAAGTGCATGCTCAAATGCACATTACCTAAAATACAGATGCTGAGTTGTGGCTCATAAACAGTTTAATAAAATGTACTGCAGTGCCCAGCTCTCCTGCTGTCAAGGCTTCAGGAAAGACCGCACCAATGCAAAACACCGTTCCGCAATACAAAGAAAAACATTATATTAGCTCTTACACAGACTATGCTCATAAAAATAAAGGTTGGGCATATAGTTGGAGGAAAAATCTTTAATTGGAATAGACCCTTTAAAAATATGTGCTAGGACTGCACAAGAAATTGCATTTTTATCATTATCAAGATAAACATATCTTTATGCCCGTGATGACAGAATGGCTCACATTACCAGTGTTTCTCTGCAGTGTGTTTGTGCTCGGTCCTCCCAGTTGGAGAGCCATTCAGTTAACCCCTTAAGAATTGTTTCAACCATTTGCATTGAAGTCTCTGTAGTTACTGAATAATAAGACTTAGTATGCAAAAAGCCTGGGATTTTCCTAAAACTCAATCCTAAAATTCACACATGCACAGCTCAAAAACTACTATATCCTGTTATGTATTAAGATAAGCAGTAAGGGCTGCTGTCACAGCAAACCTGCATCACTATAAGGAGTTTGTTAAGGATTTTAAAATGTGCTAACAGTTCTGATATAAGTAGATGCAGTTGTATGCAAAAGTATAGGTGCCCTTGGTCTCCTACTGGAGATTTCTCACACAAATATGGCTCATTAAAGAACCACCTATTAAAAGGTTCTTTAACATCTTAAGTCAAATCTTTATCTTTATCTTTAAGCCACTGTAGTTGCTGAATAATAAGCCTTAGTATGTAATAAGCCTGGGATTTTAAGGGGTTAAGGAACCAAAAGTGGTTCTACTACAGTGCCTCAAAAATCCCTTTTTGTCACCTTTACTTTAAAATGCATGTGTCAGGGGGCAGCAAGTTGTCAGTTGTAATTATCAGCTGAAATTCGAATATCAGACAGAAAGTTTTTTTTCCCATTTATCAATTAATAATATATCAGCTGTTTATACATTGTGCATCCCTAGCATTGTGCCAGTTGTTACATAGACTACTACACCTAAACTCTGTCTATAGTAGGAACAGGACTGCATACCTGTCAGCAGGATTTGAGGAACGCCGCGGAGGGGTCATACTCGCCTCTGATCCACATGAGAAAGGAAAGAAAAGGACAGAATCGTTAGTGCTTATGTGCCGTCCACCAACAGGCAGTTCATGCAGACCCCCCCCTTCACTCATGAAAGAAAAAAAAATGACATTTTGATGTAAGATGAGATGTTCAAAACCTTTTTTATATTTTTGGTCAAAGTGTTAGATCCTAAAATGACAAATCCACTTCCTCATGCAAGTGCAATTGTACTAAAGTCACAGCGTGTAACACATCAACTCCCATCTCTGCCTATTCGAATACGAAGCCGGTGAATCACCTGCAATTAGCAGGTTGCCTGTTTCTTTCCTGTACATCATGTTCAGAAACGCTTTAAAGGACAGCCTGCCTCTTCAATAATCAAAGGTCATTTCCTAAAGCATGTTTAATAGACCACTTACAGTGATTTGTTCTAAACTTCACCTTTAAGGCCAAAAACCATGTCCAAAGACTAATTCCTACTGTTATCCCCCCGCCCCTGTGACATTATGTACCGTGCAACTCAGCAGCCAGCCTATATAATCTAGAACATTCCCTGTATGGTCTCCTTTTGAGTAGCCTCAGGTGTATGTATGTGTGGACTGCGCAGAGCTATTAGTGTGTAAATCAGAGAGGAGTGGGTGTAGGGTGGCTTTAATGGCAAAGGCGTAAACAAAAGTGAAAAGCACTGTGTGGATTGTGTTCTTCCTCTGAGGGTAGACTCTCACAACAGTAAACCGTCTCAACAAAACCAATCCTTATAAGAGAACTTCATAACAACACCTGCATAAGGAAAGAAACTTGTGGTGTGGTGAATGTAGAATTTGTGTCAGACACTGTACAACATCTCTGTCAGAAGAATTGATGTTTTCAAGTTTGAAAGGTCCATATTCTACGTTTTTCTTGTATTTATTTATTTTATTTTACGGAGGTCTGCATATGACGTTCATGTGAGTTTACGTACCAAAAAAAAAAATTGTCACTTGTTTTTACATGACCATTTTTTAACCTTTCTTTAAACCCTAGAATTAAATTTGCAACAATTATATTTGTTACTGTGTCTTTAGGACTGAGATATGTAAATGACCTCTTGGCTGTCCTATACTCTCATGCAAAAAGCAGTTCAGTCTGAAACACTCTTTGAAACTTCAGCACAAATGGGTGGGCAAAGCTGGTGTAGGTTGAATCAGTGAAAAACTGTTGTATTTTGTGACATCACAAATATGACCAATTCAAAACAGGCCATTTTTGTAGCTTAGTTTCTAACTATGGACAGTAAGAACTGGAGAGTAAATAGTACCTTTTAACAACTTTAACAATGTTTACATACTACATCAATACGTCTTCTATTAAAAAAAAATATGAGCCCTCTCATGCGGCACATCTGCTGTAGTCTCTCTTAAAGGGGAATTCCACCAATTTTTGAAAATATCAGCATAGTTTAATCATTCATATGTAAATTCAGAGCAGTTAGATGGGAAATTGTTCATTGTAGAGACACAGACTGCCTCACACTTCTTCACAGTGGTGGTGATGAGAACCAGGAGTCATGATGTATACAATACAAATATAGCCATTTTATTTACAACCTAAAACAATCAGTCAACCTTCGTGTCTTCTGAGTTTTTATACAACGGTAAAACAGTCATCAATCTGGAACAGGTTTTTTGGGACTATTTTGCCTTACAGGGGAAAATACCACAACAGGACTCTCCACAACGAATGTATATATAAAAAAAAACATTTTAAGCCAAAATCATATCACACAACTATCATCAAGCAGTGTCTCAGGCATCAGGCAACAAGTTCACGTAATAACATGTTAGTTAGCTTTTAGGGGCACTGAACTGCTCAGACATCTGGTTCCTATCACCACCACTGTGAACAGATTCTCTAGAACAGAGCATTTCATACCAAACTGCTTGTAATGACTTTGTTTACATCTTAACCGTTTATTCACCAATCTTGAAATATCAGTGGACCTCCCCTTTCATATTTAGTCAGAAGATGAGAAGCTGTGAGAGGAAAGAAAGTTAGAATAGAATAACAATGTGTTTAGTGCAAAATCATATTATTCAAATTAGATTCTGAGTTGTTTCCTGGAAACCCCCTAATACAGACAATCATGATCTAATATTCATAATGAGCTGATTCCTAATGAGTTGATTGGTCAATCGTTAAGGATTCAAGAGCATAAATATCCAGCCTGTCGCTTCAGTTGTTACGGACCAACAAAAATCTTCCACTTTTGTCTTATTATTTTGTTAAGTACTGTATAGTATTGCCAAAAAAAAATAAATGCAAATGAGTATTGATTTTAACACTGTTCGGTCAAAGTAAAAGCCACGACAGCACAGTGTAAAAACCAAGACTACTCTTTTCTCAGGCTGTCTGTTTTTGGAATTTTCTCTCACTAGCTCACACATACAACACATAACACTTACAAACACATTAGACCGTTAAACATGGCCACACTCTTTCGTTCAACACAGACTCGGTCATTTCCAAATGAGAGTAAATGTAATTTTGTACATGTAAGTTACATATGCTGCTACTCTGCTAATCCACTCTCAGCCGTGTGTAATGTCTCACCTGGTTGTGACTGAGTGCGCGGTCCCATCATTGTAAATCAACGTCGTGCTGGCGAACCAAGCGCCACACATTTTCTCTAAAAAGCCTGAGTCAAGGGTCCTCTGAGGACTTTCGACGATAATGTCCTCTTGACAGCTCCGTCCTCCATGGACAGTCGCCTCAGAGGGATGGGCTGCGACCCCGAACAGAAAGCCCAGAGAGAGCCACCGCTGGGTGCAGTCTATTGAGCATCCTCTCCGCTTTTTCACCCGTGAGCCAGTGAGTGAACTATGAGTCCGGTACACCACCACAACACGCTATGAATGAACGACAGAAACGCGTTTTTCCCTCATTTTTCCGCTCTTGAACAAGTTCTCGTGATAAATTTGCTCACGGGCATCCAACAGCCTCTCAGAAAGCTCCCTGTCACTGCTCAGAAATACAAAAAAGGCGTGAAGCGTGTTGAGAAATAAATAGCTGATAACCTCATCTCCTCACTGCGTGTTCTGTCACCTCTGTATGAGTGGCGGTATTATTATTTATTTTTTACCCCCCCCCACCCGTATTCAGCCAAGCCCCGCCCTCATGCGCTTGGAATGGCTAAGCGCTTCATTCTCACGAGCCACGCGCCGTTCTAGAACGCGCACTACTAGCCAATCCTAGCGCAGGAGGCGAGACAACTGGCAGCCAATCCAAGCGCAGGAGGTCGGCGTTTGGCGGAATACGGGTGGAAAAAACGGAATGAGTGAGGTAGAGCCTTGTCCTTATCGCTCGCAGCCCAGCGTTACTCAGTCAAAGCTTATAGCGCCATCTGCTGGACCACCTTGAAACGTTTTACACCATAATCATGACCTCAGAGAAAGCCTGCTGCCCACAGAAACGCTATAATGCACCACAAGTCCCATCCTTAATTTAAAAACGTTAAGCTTTATTCCTCCATCTCCCCACTGTTCCACTGCGTTTGAGGGAGCAGGCCTACCTTCCAGAAGCGCCTCCAGCTTGAGGTAAACTTAAAAGATGCTTGGTTTTATTGCCGTCATACTTGCCTTCAGCTGGGAGAGCAAATGGCCCTTATTTGTCCCCTCAGGACCATCAGAAAGTATTAGTACCATTCTACCATAAAACTGCCAACTCTCAGACAATTCCACCAACGCCTGTTCAATTTGTCACATCTCAGTGTGTAATGTCCCATTTAATACTGCCATTAGCTTCATCACTGATGAATGAGAGAAATAACTACAGATGGCTTCCTCTTGTGGCATCATCCATACGTGTAATGTTCATCTTTCACATGACGCCCATTTAAACAAGATATATAGAACCGTGCCAAGAACACAGGACAGGCATTTATCTTTTTGCATGAACAAAAAATAGGTTTTTTGTGATGATGCTTTATAAAGTCTTCCATCGTTTTATCTTTTACTTCTGCGTAATGAAATGGTTAAGAAGTAAACAAGTCATTCAGAGTGAATTGATGTGAAATGCTTTGTTCTAGAGCAGCATACAGAATTGTTCACAGTGGTGGTGGAACCAGATGTCTGACGGGTTTAATGCAGGGTGGAGAGGTATATACAGCATTGTAAGGCAAATTAGTCCCCTAGTTCAGATTTACCACTATCATTGTCAACAGTACAAGCACAGTACTGTGCAAAAGTCAGAGACCACCCTTTATTTTTTTCACTTCCAGTCAAAAAGGCCAAGTGCAAGTTATAAATTTCTAACTTGTTTTATAACTTTCTTACTTTGTCCACCGTTTACCTTTATTACAGTTTCCATTCTTTTAAAGACACTTGTTTTCAGTTTTTGAAAGAAACCTGCAGTGATATTACTAAAGTTCAGTCTTTGAGATTGGTTGCAGTTTCTGCTTCTCACCATCCAAGCAATCTCAAACACATTGATGTTGGGGTCTGGAAACCAATGTTAAAGGTGGATGGTCTTATTTGACAGCTACACATACTTTCACACTCATAGTGTTGAGTTGTCTTCTCACAGTGGAAGGATGGACAGAAACACCTGTGGATTTTTTCAGATCTTAAGTAAGAGTAGAGGTTGATTTTCTCCTCTCTCTCAAAAATGAATGCTTTAAGTGCTGTTTATCTGACTGTGACGGTTTTGGTGGTCTACCAGTCTTGTACAATTCTTAGGAGTCTCATTTTTTTCTGTGTCTTTTAATCTATGCTTGAACTCCAGTCTTGAAAATGTCCCCTTATTTTCCTATGAATTTAACCCCAACAACCAATGGGCCCAAAGTTTTATTACACACTTCTACAACCCAAGAATAGCTCCATTAGTTTGCATTTAAGTCCCTGTAGATTTTGAATAGTAAGCCTTAGTATGAAATAAACCTGGTTAAGATTAAGTTAAGAGGTTAACCTCCCTTATGGAGATGGGTTGTCTTCTACCTTATCTCCTCAGAAATGAAAAATCTTATCTCCTCCTGAAAAATGAATAACTTGTACTTAATGGCAGTTTGGACTGGAAATTAAATCAGTGAAAGAGTGGTATCTGACACATGTAGGTTCACTGGTTGTTTTGTATCATAAATATAATGTTTATATTTGTGTTGTAGACATTGCGATGCCTGGTTCCTATCACCACCACTGTACAGAAATCTGAGAGGGTAATTTTTTCTACAATGCACCATTTCACTCTGAATGACTTTGTTTACATGACAACAACTGAATTATGCACAAAAATACCAGAATCCCCCTTTAAAAATAAAGGTGCTGTAAAGAGTTCTTTGGATCGATACCATAGAAGAACCACATTTGGTTTGCTCAACTGAGCGGCTCTTTAGAAGATTCACTTTTGCTCCCTTAAGGTGTTGCTCCTAAGAACCCTTCATGGTACGTTTATTCTGAGGAGTGTATGAACCTACCTGCTTTTAGTCTGTTGTCAGCTACAGGCAGGGTGAGCCTCCTCCTTGGGACGAAGAAACTGTTCATGTCCCTGGATTGGAATTACAGTCGCCTGGTCCTCTCCGTGATGCCAAAGCATAACAGCCTAGCAGACATTTACTCAGTAAACTGGGCTTAAATTCATTGCGCTCTGATGAGAACTGCTTTCAGTTGTCAGCTTGACCTTGGGGAATATGTGGAAACATGCCGGGACTTTTCCCAAGCTGGACGACATGGTCTTTTTTATCAAACTCCACCTATTCTCTTTCCCGTACATGCAGCCCTACAAAAGCTGGCTGGAAAAAAAATTTTTTTTGGTGCCGCAGAAAGAACGTGGCTTGTGTTTTTGTTGTTGTTTTGATGAATCATGGTAATACGTGGGCACCTGAACCCTGTCGCTCTCTCTCTCTGTCTGTCACTCGGTCCCTCTTACATAAACAAAGTATATTTGATCAAAATCATTCATTATTTACCGTCAAATGTTTTCCCCTGTTTCTTGTTTATTAATAATAACATTCAAGATCCACCTTCAGAATATCTGCATTTTTCTGTTGTATTTATTTATTTATTCATTCATTCTTTCATTCATTCTTTCATTCATTCATTCATTCATTCTTTTATTTACTTGCTTACTTACTTACTTACTTGCTTACTTATTTATTTTTTATAACCTGTAATATAATGATAAGTTGTCCAATTTGAAGAATTCTACTGGACTTCAGATATCAAATCCACATATATAAACACACCATGTCCTTTTTAAACAGTATTGGACTATAAAATGTCAGGAAAAGTGCAATAGATTACATTTTTGCAACAAATACAATGAAATTTGACAAATGAAAAAAAATGTACCGACACAAACGATTTCAAAATGTTCATTTTGCGTTTCATAGTCCAATACTGCTTAAAATGATTACATGATGTGTTTATCTGTGTAAATTTGTTATCAGAAGTCAAGCATAAAATGGGCATTTTTAGAGGGGATAAATGCAGTTCAATACTCTGATTAGGGCAGCCTGACGTGCACAAAACATCACATTGCTACAATTATATTGTTACATATGTCACTGTCTGAAAAAAAAACGCTGTATCTCCAAAATAGTGCTTTTTACTATCTTTGTACTTAACTAATCTTGTACTTACAGTCTACTTAATGCAGCTAAATTACATATAACTGTATCTATTAAATTTGTCTTAGCTTTCTCTATCCCTAAACCTCAGCCTAAAACCTAACCTTACTACTGATGAGAATCCACCAAATTCCACCAAATAGTTTGTTAATCATTTAATGATGTTAATAGTTACATAATGTTTTTTATTTGTATTAGATTTTCATGCTTTTACAATCAAAAATGCATTTCTGTTGTTTTGTCAAAAAATCTGTAGTTCCATAAGATCAAACAGTGGAATCTAATATAATGATGAAAACACATTGCTTTAGCTATATGGAGTGATCAATTTGAAAAAAAAAATCTTTAGATTTGTTTTCAGGCAAGCCCAGAAAACACATGAACATATGAAATTTAAAACTTCAGATATGAACATTAAAAGGTTAAGACTAGACCTGCAATACTTTAGCTAAAATGAATTTTGTTTGTTGGATCATATACTACTGTTCAAAGATTTAGTCACTGGTCAAAAGTTCAGATTCAGTGATTTTATTGACATAAAACTAATTTGGTTTAAGTTAAATCAATAAAAGGAGTTTGTTATATGAGTCCTGTGCAGTTTCATATGTTTCAAACCGTTAGTATAAAGCTCTAAAACAAAAAGGAAGACGTTGTTGAAGAGATGCATCTAGAATGAAGAACAGAGTTGTAGATGATACTAAAAAGAACTATGAAAGCTGTATACTGCTGAGAATTAAGTGACGATCAAATTAAAGAGGAACTCTTCCCATTTTCATATTGTCTGCAAAGTCATTCTGAGGGGTTTGGTGTGAAATGCTCTATCCTAGAGAAATTTACTGACTCTGATTTCTTTATAGTGGTGGTGAGAGGAGCCAGGCGTCATGATGTCTACAACACAAATATAGCCATTTTATTACTATCCAAAATGACCAGTGATCCTACACAGCTTCTGTGTTTTATATGTAATATGCATTGCAATGCCCTGCACCTTTTTGTCATTAATGTATTAAAAAGAAATTAGCCCACAATTGTACCTCAAAACTTTCATAAAATAATGTCTTTCAACATAGTTCTCATTTCATGTAATGACTTTCTTTGAAGGATCTTTTACAGACAGTAAAAACTTCAGACTTCTGGTTCCTATAACTACCACTGTAAACAATTCTGACTCTGTAAGTTTCTCTAGAAAAGAGCATTTTAAATCAAATCACTCTGAAGGACTGTTTACATCTTAACCATTTAATTATATAGACATTTTGAAAAATCAGTGGACCTCCCCTTTAATGCCCACAGTACCTCATATTTCAAACATGGTGATCAAATCATGACAACTAGACAACAATGAAACATACTGTAAATAATATCTTAAAATCCTCAAAATTTTGAATAAAACATCTAAAAATCTTTTTTTAAGTTTTTAAAATTTACATCAACACTGGATAAGTCATCGTGTAGAAAACAACACAAATGATCAATGTCGAGCCAAACTTTTGCTCAGTAGTGTTTACTGAAATGTAAGTTTGGATGCATTTTGCATGGTTTTGCTAGTCTCATCATGATGGTGTTTTGTGTCCAGGTTTCCCAGTTCAGCTTGTAGCAGAAATGCTAACGCTAACAGTTGGTGAATACTGGCCCCAAGCAGTTACAGAACAGAATGGCAAAGATAATTGAACCCATTTAAGTCTTCAGAAATGAATAACATTTGTCTTATCTGTATTTTTATGACTGTATTTAGAAATAAATAAGACAATATGCAACCGTTAGATTTTCAGCCATTTGTTCATTCATTTATGAAACAGTGCCTTTAAAATAATGAAGCTGTTTTACAGACGGTACCAATGCATCGCACACAAATAAATATTTGCATCATAGCACAATTAAATTAGAGGTTACTGCCAGCTATTTACTATTATTGGGCTGTTAATCTTACTTGCTAAGGAAGTGTGGATTACTGAAAAATAAGAAAGTATCTATAACTCAGATATAAAGTTATTTAAGCTTGAAACAGAGTTAAGAAACTTTTTTATGAGGAAATATATTTGTGTAATTATTTTAGGTAAAGTTCACTAATTTAAGTTGACAGTATAGGCCAATTTCACAGGCACAATTTAGGAATAATGTACTGAGCAGCTCTAAGACATTGAGAAATATAGACTGATCATCAAAAAATAGACTGGCAGGTATATTTAAAGGTGTAAAAAGTCATTTTGATAGGTTTTCACCAAAACACCCTGTCCTCCTGGATGTGAAGCCTTCATGCTTCCAAAGTGTCTGCAAAGAGAGAGCAAAAACAGAACTGGAAGACTGGAGGAACGGTAATCTGGTTGGATGGAAAGACAGACAAGCGAAACAGATGAGCGACAAATGATCGGACAATTGTTTGGCTGGGCGGCAGTGAAAAACGACAGCTGAATAAATGGAATGCAAAAAGCTCTCACCTCCAAGTATTAGTGTCAGGATTATAAGTCTCGATGGTTCGGAGATTGGATGTGCCATCACAGCCTCCTACAGCCAGCAGCCTTTCACCAAATACCAGCAGTGACACCTAGACAAGGTCAAATTTATCACAGGCCTGCATTTACCGCTGACTCAACATGCCAGCCAAGTGACAACCTGCTCTAAACACAGCACTCTCAGTCTGCAACGTGAATGCAATAGCTCAAGCTCAGTACTGTTCAGAAGTTTGGAGATGCTTGTCATATAAATGGCTACTTTATGTACAATGCTAACCTATATGTAATGTAAGTTTACATATTATTAAAAGCATTTTAGATATTTAATTCAATAGTTGGTATGTACATGTATATGCATTGAATAACATTTATAAAGCAACTACTTGAGTATTTATGAACAGCTTATGCCAGTAAGCTTGAAAATGTGTTTTATGAAGTGAATGACATTGTATTGACATGAAGGATCTTAAACTAAGACAGTTTTCCTTTTATAACACTGTAATAAAGCATTATTCCCAAGTAATAGCACTTTATACATCAGTTCTGCTTATGTCTATGTGAGTTTAAGCACATCAGTACAATTTCTTTTAAGTAGACTTGTTTGGCTTCCGCATATCTCCTAAATTGAAATTATAATTCATAATGTTATGATGACTATAATAACTAGAACACAATCATATGCAAAAGTTTGAACACCCCCAGTCAAATTACATGTTGTCTTGATTTTCTATATGAAAATAGGGTCACACTTTGTTTTGTTATGGTCCTTTTAGATGAAACAGACACTCAATAGACTCTCAGTAACATGTCAAAAACATATGAGGTTAAGGTTAGGATTAGGATTAGGGCCAGAGTTATGGTTAGGTTTAGGGTTGAGGTTAAGGTTAGGGTTAGAATTAGGGCCAGGGTTAGGGTTAGGTTTTGGTAAGGTTGGGTAGGATTAGGTTTTGCGTAATGGAAGTAACATATTAACAACACATCTACTTAATGTAAGTAATGTATCAACAGAACATCTACAAGATATTTACTTCAATGTATTCAAATGCAGCACTACTGCCACTTCACTGATATGTTGTTGATGTGTTACTGATACTCTACTAAGACCTTATTAATCATCTACAAAGGACTACTCCAAATAAAGTGTTACCAAAAAAAGGTCAACACATCCTCTACAGGAAACAAAGTTAAATATGGCATTTTCTGCAAATTTCAGTGCACAAATTCTGTTTATTTGCTGAGTTTAATATACTGGATAATATAAACTTAAAACAGAAAATGTGCCATAACTTTTGCACAGGCCACATTTAGTTTTTTTTGTTTTTTTTTCCCAAAATGTCAAATTCAGCAAATAAACAGTATTTTTTAAATAAAATGTGCAGAGGTGTGGTCTCTGTAGAGCAGATGTGTCCAACCTTTTTCAAAGAGGACCATGTCAAAATACCTGAGGGCCAAAATATTATCCACAAATATTTCAGAATGAGAAAAACACAACCATGTAGAGAAATTAATCAAATGTAGCATCTGAATCTTTAGCATATTTGAATCATTTATACATGTATGTGTAAACAAACTGGCTTAAAATTCCTGACTTGTAAACAGTAGTGCAAGTTTGGACTGTATGAACATGGGAGCTGAAACACTGCCAGACAAGCTGCTGACAACTCACTTGGTGACGCTTGTTCCTCATGCGTGGGACGGGTGTCCAGTGGAGGGTGTAGGGGTCAAACTTCTCCACAGTGCTGAGCTCCAGTAAAAGCTCATCCCGACCCCCTGCCACGTACAGGCAGCCCAGGTATACAGCACAGCCTGGCCGCTCTCTGGGGGTCCCCATGGGGGCACAAGCCTGCCACATCCCGTCCAGTGGGTTAAAGCGTTCCACTGGAGATTGGAATCAGAATCAGAATATGTTTTTATTCACCAAGATGTACTGGATGTCTTTTTAATGAAAATATAACATGCATTATTTTCCCAGTGTGGGAAATGTAGCTGTTCCCTAATGTAGGTGGAATTCAAAAAGTGATCACTGAGTGGATGTAAAAGGTGGATGTTTCTAATAAAGTGGCCAGTGAGTGGCTAGTGAGTGGGTGAACAAGGGTAGTGCTTCTATTTAAGCAGCCTGTGAGTGGAATTACAAGGTGGGTGTTTCTAATAAAGTGGCCAGTGAGTGAATGTAAAAGGTGGGTGGTTCTAATAAAGTGGCCAGTGAGTGAGTGTAAAAGTGGGTGTTTCTAATAAAGTGGCCAGTGAGTGAATGTAAAAGGGGGGTTTTTCTAGTAAAGAGGCCAGTGAGTGAATGTAAAAGGTGCGTGTTTCTAATAAAGAGGCCAGTGAGTGAATGTAAAAGGTGGGTGTTTCTAATAAAGTGGCCAGTGAGTGAATGTAAAAGGTGGGTTTTTCTAATAAAGAGGCCAGTGAGTGAATGTAAAAGGTGGGTGTTTCTAATAAAGTGGCCAGTGAGTGAATGTAAAAGGTGGGTGTTTCTAATAAAGTGGCCAGTGAGTGAATGTAAAAGGTGGGTGTTTCTAATAAAGAGGCCAGTGAGTGAATGTAAAAGGGGGGTTTTTCTAGTAAAGAGGCCAGTGAGTGAATGTAAAAGGGGTTTTTTTCTAATAAAGAGGCCAGTGAGTGAATGTAAAAGGTGGATGTTTCTAATAAAGTGGCCGGTGAGTGAATGTAAAAGGTGGGTGTTTCTAATAAAGTGGCCAGTGAGTGAATGTAAAAGGGGGTTTTTTCTAATAAAGAGGCCAGTGAGTGAATGTAAAAGGTGCGTGTTTCTAATAAAGAGGCCAGTGAGTGAATGTAAAAGGTGGGTGTTTCTAATAAAGAGGCCAGTGAGTGAATGTAAAAGGCGGGTGTTTCTAATAAAGTGGCCAGTGAGTGAATGTAAAAGGTGGGTGTTTCTAATAAAGAGGCCAGTGAGTGAATGTAAAAGGGGGGTTTTTCTAATAAAGTGGCCTGTGAGTGAATGTAAAAGGTGGGTGTTTCTAATAAAGTGGCCAGTGAGTGAATGTAAAAGGGGGGTTTTTCTAATAAAGTGGCCTGTGAGTGAATGTAAAAGGTGGGTGGTTCTAATAAAGTGAACAGTGAGTGAATGTAAAAGGTGGGTGTTTCTAATAAAGTGGCCAGTGAGTAAATGTAAAAGGTGGGTGTTTCTAATAAGGTGGCCAGTGTGTGAATGCAAAAGGTGGGTGTTTCTAATAAAGTGGCCAGTGAGTGAATGCAAAAGGTGGATGTTTCTAATAAAGTGGCCGGTGAGTGAATGTAAAAGGTGGGTGTTTCTAATAAAGAGGCCAGTGAGTGAATGTAAAAGGTGGGTGTTTCTAATAAAGTGGCCAGTGAGTGAATGTAAAAGGTGGGTGTTTCTAATAAAGTGGCCAGTGAGTGAATGTAAAAGGTGGGTGTTTCTAATAAAGAGGCCAGTAAGTGAATGTAAAAGGGGGGTTTTTCTAGTAAAGAGGCCAGTGAGTGAATGTAAAAGGTGGGTGGTTCTAATAAAGAGGCCAGTGAGTGAATGTAAAAGGTGGGTGTTTCTAATAAAGTGGCCAGTGAGTGAATGTAAAAGGGGGGTTTTTCTAATAAAGAGGCCAGTGAGTGAATGTAAAAGGTGGGTGTTTCTAATAAGGTGGCCAGTGAGTGAATATACATGATAGGTGTTAATAATAAAGTGCCAAATAAGTGAATGTAAAGGGTGGGTGTTTCTAATAAAGTGGTCAGTGAGTGAATGTAAAAGGTGGGTGTTTCTAATAAGGTGGCCAGTGAGTGAATATACATGATAGGTGTTAATAATAAAGTGCCAAATAAGTGAATGTAAAGGGTGGATGTTTCTAATAAAGTGGTCAGTGAGTGAATGTAAAAGGTGGATGTTTCTAATAAAGTGGCCAGTGAGTGAATGTAAAGGGTGGATGTTTCTAATAAAGTGGTCAGTGAGTGAATGTAAAAGGTGGATGTTTCTAATAAAGAGGCCAGTGAGTGAATGTAAAATGTGGGTGTTTCTAATAAGGTGGCCAGTGAGTGAATATACATGATAGGTGTTAATAATAAAGTGCCAAATAAGTGAATGTAAAGGGTAGATGTTTCTAATAAAGTGGCCAGTGAGTGAATGTACACGGTAGGTGTTAATAATAGAGTGGCCAGTGAATGCACATTAACTGAATTGATTTATACTATATCTATAGATCTATATCTATACGACTACAATATTGCTCAGGGCCCTTCTTTTACAACTTGAAAGCCAGAACATAACTTTTTCTTTTTGTTATATAACCATGTCTGTATAAGAACCTGAAGAAACATTATATTGCCTCAACCTTGTAAACTTTGGTAAGAGGTCATGGGAGTTTCCTCCAGCCAGCCTTCTCACAGTCAGAAACACATAGCAGCAAAATCCATTTTTTTCCAAGCTATTCTTGGATGTTCCATTTACGAGAAGGATAATGTCTGTGTCATTTGTGCACGTTGTGGACTGGAAGAATATGTGGGCAGATATATACCGTTAAGAGAGGCCTTACCGCCACTCCTGATGCAGACATTATGAAAGCTAAAGAGCCATTACCGATTGTTGAGCGATGTTTTTTTTTTTCTCAGTTTGAGTAAACAGTGGAAAACCACCGTCCATCCCTCGTAGATTGCGGGATAGTGAGATAAGATAAGAATGGGAGTCAGATGTGTTGAGAAACAGATGGCTGGGTTTCTGAGTACTCACCTGAGCTGAGTGGTGTGTCTCCATCTGTGCCGCCCATCACATACAGGTAACCGTCCAGCATCGCAGCGGCGGCTCCTGTCCGAGACTGCCTCATGGGGGACAGTTTAGTCCAGCTCTTTAGCTCTGGAGCAAACCTGTGTGGGGCATTTTAACTATTGCATTACATGCAGCGTAATTACGGTGTATCTGGATGGGCTTCCACATCTCATAAAGTTGTAAAATTGGCACATTAGCAAATCAAAACTATCACTTGTTTGCATTTGGGTTGTCATTAGCAACTGGTAAATTATAAATATATCAAATTAAACATTGCTGGGATGGATCATTGCCATTGCTCGCTGGAAGTCAATGTTACTTTTATGTAAATTTAAGTGTTATTAATACACACTATATGTCCAAAAGTTTATGGACACCTGCTTATCCAATGTTTCTTACAACATCAAGGGTATTAACAGTGTTGCCGTGAGGATTTGATTGCATTCAGTTACAAAAGCATCAGATGCTGATGATGGATGATTAGTTCTGGATCACGCCACTCCGCCTCATTCAAAAGGTGCCAGATGTAGCTCCATCACTCTAGACAACAGAGGTACACTGCTCCTCAGCTCAGTGCTGGACAGTTTTATACCCTTCTAGTTGACGCTTGGCATTTGACATGGTGACCTTACATTCATGTGTGGCTGCTCCAAAGCATCCCATTCTATGGGCAGTACTTTCTATGGACATTATACAAGCTGTGTGTGCAGTTGAACACCTGTGTTTGCAATAGGTGCACCTGAAAGTTGCTAAATTCATTCACTACAAGCGTCTTTTTGGGGGATGGTCTTGAACAAAAAGCATATTTACCATTAATTTGGATCATATACAGTCTTGGCGTCCCTGGTCAAATGACGTTTTGTTGATTTTTCTAACTGAAAATAAGTTAAGGCATTCTCTACAGAGAACACACTTCTGCATGTTTTAATGCATGATTACTAGTTATTTGATTTTAACATATTGGGGGAAAACTACATTAAATTTGACCTGTGCAAAAGCAGTAGACTATTTTATATACTACACATATTGGGCCCTCTCATAGACATGTCAATGCACTATTACACGTTCTATATATATATTCTATATATATTTTATATATATATATATATATATATATATATATATATATATATATATATATATATATATATATCTTTTTCCAAAGGTAAACTCAACAAATTAATAGAAATTGTGCTCTACAATTTGCACAAAAATGCCATGTTTCAGTTTGTTCCCTATGGAGGATGCATTAACTTACTTACTCACTTAGAAAATCAACAATGTCAATCTTACTGGTGGTGTTCAAACCTTTGCATACTGCTGTACACTTTGTGTTCACCTACTAGTTTTTATGAGTTTACCGTTTGTATTAACAACTTTGTCAGCCAATCGAGTGCAACCTTTCTGTGGAAATTCTTGAGTTTATGAGGACTGTCCTAATGCACCACTAATCAATCAGTAGCAAAACTTTGGCCTGTGCTTTGAAAGCAACAAAAAATGGGAAAATGGGTCTGCAAATATACTCTTCATCCACATAACACAAACCATCTGATGATCATTTTATAAATGTCTATATGAAAGGTCCACCAGAGTGCTCACCTATTTCCTGACAGCGCAAGAGTGTAAAATTGAATTATTGAATTTTTTTGACCTTATGAAAAGACAGGACTTTTTGCTTCTGTAGATCAAATCTTTAAAGATGTTTTCAAATTAAGATTTTCTTCTTTATATATATATATATATATATATATATATATATATATATATATATATATATTTATGTATGTGTGTATGTATGTATGTATGTATATATGTATTTATTTATTTATTTATTTATTTAATTTTTAACAAACAATAGCCAATGGCCAATTTCAAAATGCTCATTACATTATACATGTTCAAAATAAATAAGTTCATCAAATTATATTTGATGTGTATTATTTTATTTATTCAAATGCCTTGAGTAGTCATTAATGGTTAAGCATTCAAAATCAACTATTGTCGCTGTTTACCTATGTTAGTTTGTTTATTTGGATTTTGTAAGCAAGGAATTTGAAAAGCTGGGCCTTCACAAGTTTAGTGGGGTAGCCCTGCTCTATAACCTGATTTATCATATTTCATATTTCTCTTATACATAGTGCTGGACATTGAATATCACAATATTTTCCAAAATATATAACAGTGCTTGATGAGATTTATTAGTTGTGCATTATAAAGGGTAATGAGACTGTGCCTCCAAGTACTTTATACTAAAGAATGTTTTACACAGCTGACGTATCCTGCAATGTGCTGGATACCATGTGTAAGACACACAAAATATAATTTAAAGAATTAAAGTTGCTTGGCAATAGGATGACTTCTGTTTTATGAAGAATATTTGCATGAATTTGACACCTACTATCTATCAGTGTCACTGAAACTTAATAAAAGAATCAAGGTATGATAACAATACCAATACACCAGTATAGCTCAGCAATACTTGTATATTTGCTAAAAGTCTAGCATGCTTGCTTGTCTTGTCTTGAATGTTGCATGTTGAATGTGTACACTCACCAGAGCAGAGCTCCTTATATGCATAAACATACTTGGTGTTCCAGGTCAAATAAAACTGATTCTGGTGATACTGATACCCAAATATCTGAGATCAGTTATGTACCATTTTAAAGATCCTCTCACCTGTACTAAAGGATTATCAAACATGTTAAGAAGAGGAGCTTTGTGCTTTCTAATTGTTAAAGTTATCACCAGATGCTCTGCTGTACTGTTGAAGTACATGGAGAGGGGGGTGAGCCAGCGTGTGGGATTCAATAGACTGATTATGTTGTGAGGTTGCCAGTTGGATGACTTTTATAGAGGGATAAGATATAATGACAACAGGCAGGGGCTCAATAGCCAGGACAAACGACAAGGGAGAAACTGGACAGCTTTGCTTGCAGCTTCTTGTCAAGTGAAATACCCCTAAAAGGATACCATTAATCAGGATGTGGGCATTTGAAAGAATCAATAAATGTATTTTCTGCACCCACTGTTGCCATAGTTTGAAGGAGAACACTTTGTTGTTGAATGCATTCAATGTATCCACTGACAATCAAGATTGAAGTGCCTTGTAGTCATAGATAATATGAAGGACTCTCAGGATGATATCATATTGTTGCTGATTAACCTTGATTTACATTGTAGGCCCACTTTCATGTGTCTAGACACCCTCTCTAATTAGTGAATGACGCTAATTAGTGAGCTTGTGTAATCTACATAGCAAAGCACTGCAAACGAATGGGATGCTCTGGAGCAGCCATGTATGATCTTAAGGTCATGACCATTGCTGAATGTCGCTTAGAGGGGAATAAATCTCCCCAAGCACTGAGCTATGGAGAACTAATCATTCAATATCAGTACCTGACCTAACAACAGTAATGATATCCTAATCTGTTTTTAACAAAACATAACTGAACCTCTTTAATAATCTTTGGAATTACATTTCATCATCATACCAATACCTCATCATTTTCTAGTCAGCACTGAACAGCTTAAGCCCCTACATGGCTGCGGGCCTGCCAACAGGCCCAAAGTTTTATTACATACTTCTATAACCTAAGAATAGCTCAACCAGTTTGCATTGAAGTCCCTGTGGTTACTGAATAATAAGCTGGGATGAATAACGAGCCTGGGATTTTAAGGGGTTAAGAGGTCTGCCTGATCTACACTTTTGATCATCTTTCTTCCAGGGTTTAGGCAGCATAGTAATTGCTGCTGTCTCTTAAAGGTTTTAGGTGCACTCCACAGATCAAAGCTTCTTTAATCATGTCTATGAGAGGGGCCAATAACAAATTCAGGCCTTGCAGTACTGGGAATTTATCAATTGTTTTGCTGTTCAGGAAAAAAATAATAACAAATAGCACCATTCGCTCAGCAACATCAGCATTCTCTTGCCGTTTCCTGGAAGTTGTAGTCCATCAAATTTTTTTTTAGAAAGCATAGTATTACCAGTACATTCTGATCAATACAACATATTTCGAGTGATCTGGTCAATGCACTATGACACGATACTTCCAAAAGTTTGTAGGCACCTCAATCCCATTTTTTCCTTCTGAAATGAGAAGGCTGCTCTAGATGTTGCAATGTTGCTAGAAAGATCTGATTGCATTCACCCACAAAAACATTAATGAGGTCAGGTAGTGATTTTAGGTGATTAGTTCTGGATCACAAACTCCACTCTTGCTCATCCCAAAGGCACTGGATGGAGCTCCAACACTCCAGAGAGAGCAGTTCCACAGCCCAATGCCATGTGCTCCTGCTTCAGAGCATCTCATTATAATAGCAATGCTTTTCTACGGAGACTATACAAGCTTTATGTGGGCAACTGCAAATGCCTGTGTCAGCAATGGGTGCATCTTAACGTAGCTGAATTCAGTAATTAGATGTCTGGATACTTCTGGAAATACTGTGCATCTATGGGTCTATCTGTGTATCTATTTCTCTATATTTGAGAATGGTATTTTAGTTTTAGCTACACTTTTCTCCCCATCCATTTGAAATATGTATGATATTTGCCTTATCTGATAACAGCTGACAGTCAGAGAACCAGCTGTTTCTCTCTCCCTCCCTCTTTCTCTCATTTCACCAAAACACACTCTTGTCCATATGGTGCTTTCAAACACCAGATTAAGAATTTCACATTAATATGCTCACTTTTAATATTCTTATCATAATAATGCTGCTGCGTTCACAATACATAATCTCTATTTGAAACCCCCTGGAGCCTCATTTGCCACAGTTATTATAACAGACATTTGAGGCAGTTTGGGTTATATGAGTGGCAGATGTCAGGTATGTTTAGGCGGGTTACCTTTCCACAGTGTTGGTGCAGGCAGTGCCATCATATCCCCCCAGGGCATACATGTACCCATCCATCTCCAGCACACACACACCACTACGGGGGCTGCTCAGGGATGCCTCACTGCTCCACTCGTTCGTTACGGGGTCATACCTGAAGGCACAGGTGACAGTGTTGACTCCTTGTCATTAACTAACATTCAACTACACATCTTTTAACTGCAATTGCATGCTAAGGTGAATGTGATATGTTTTTCTATAAATCCTATAAACCTAACTGTAACCTTGACTTCAACCCCAAACCTAAACCTAATCCTAAATCTAATCCTACACTCTTTTACAAATAGTTCTTCAAGAGTTCTTTAGTAAAGGCAATGGTTTGTGATAGAACCATGAACCATTTTAATGTATTTTAATTTTCTAGTGAAATGATTCTTTTCTATGATGGAGAAACAGTTGTACATGGTTCTTCAAAGAGCCCCTTTAAAAATGGCTCTATATAGTACCAAAAAGGGTTCCAATGTTGTTACGAGTCAAAGAACCCTTTTCCAGGACTATACAGAACCCTTTTTGCTAAGAGCATAACTCCAGATAAAGATGTTATAGACAGTGTGTTTAGAGTTTGAACATCTGTAGATAATCTATAGGGGGCAATTATATGGTAACATAACATTTCATTACTAGTAAGAATTCCTGCCTTTCCCAGGTCTGTAATTTGAAACATAGAGGGAAAGAGGTATGATGCAAGTGCAAGTCTTTTGTTTTATTGAAATTACAAAGAAAATGAAACCACAAAGGCGACTAAACCTAAAATGAACACTATTGACAAAAAATAAAGAGGACAAAGAGACATGAAGTAACCACCTAGGGGTGGGGGCCGGGGGCGGGGGGGCAACAAAACAGGGCCTAACAAACCAATACACCAAGCAAAGCCAAGACAAACAACCAGGGGTACAAATACACAGAGAACACATCAGAAACACCTGGGGCAAATGAAAGGGCGGGGCTACAGATTACACACAGGTAAGACAGATGACAAGGAGGCAGGACAGGGGAGGAGACAGAGACCAAAACAACAAAATCACATGGCAAGACACATGAGGCAAGGTAAACAAAGGCAGACACAAACAGAAACAAAGAAAGACAAGAAAAGATGCTACAATTTTAATGGAGGGAAGAATTTTACTAATGTGAAATACACTTTAACCACTTGGGCTTATTCAATTGTCACAAGCAAAAATTAAATTTTGACATGTTGAAATGTGAATTATTATTTATTTGAATTGATTTGACTAGTAAAGTGTTGCATGTAATGATAAAATGTTTAGACTTTACATGTAACTGTTAACCTTTCACTTGAAAAATCAATTCAAATATTTGAAATGTATTTTACTTTCCAGTGACTGAATTAGCATATGCTAAAATCTAATTCATGCTGCTGCAACACATGGTGAAGCAGATGAGAATGCCAGATGCATTTATGAGTTGTTTTTCAAGGGTCCAGGGAAAACAGAAGGCACGGGGGATTTAGAAAAGCAAAGAAACAATGAAAGACTAGACTAAAAAAACATGATGAAGAACAAAGAGACTGAGTAAACAAGAACAAAACCATGAGAGCACTGAGCTAACAAACATAACATCAATACCAATCAACCACTAAAGTGAGACAAAAGGCTACAAATACACAAATACAAACACTGGAGGCATTAATGCCTGGGTGGGCTTACATGTGACACACAGGTAAACATGAGAAAACAAAGGTGGAGCTGGAGAGACTGGAGACAGCAGAGGGAATCCTTCATGTGAAGTCCTACTAGTGAAAGTGTTTTTTTTTTTTTATATGAAATCAAATTTTTAATCTGTGTTTTCGCTGGTATTTCTAATATTTTTGCTGCTAAATTCCCAATTTTAGAAATTGTGGATTAAAAACTAAAACAGCTTTCCATATAAATCCCTCTCAGGATGATTGTGTGCAACGATTTGTGACATGACCATGAGGCCTTTAACCTTAAGAAGTCATGTTTATTACTGGAGGTAGCAAAAACATGTAAATCTATGTAACTGTTGCTCACTTGTCAGTGATTGCAATGAGTGGCAAATTTTTGCTGAAAGTGTAAATTGCTCCAGAGTGTCACAGCGTTCGCACTATAGTCTGGAGATCAAGAGTTCAATCCAATTATACTCTCTTGGACATCCATGGCTGGAGTCCACAAGAGCATAATTGCCCTCACTCTCTCTGGGTGGGTAGGATGCCCCCCACCACCCCCATCACTCAGCACAGTATTAGCCAACGTGGGTGTCTGTTAGCTGATGTAACAGAATTGGCACTTAGTTTTCTTCTCCAGGTGTGTTGAGATGTCCAATGACGTGTGTTAGTGACAGTCTGAAAAGAGGTGAAGTGGCCAGGCCAGAGTGGGATGTGTTTTCAGACAAGGAGTTACATTATGCAGACCAGCCCACCCCAAACTCTGACTATTTCTCCTGCTACACACACAAGCACACAAACACACACACACACACACACACACACACACACACACACACACACACACACACACACACACACACACACAAAATAAGTTGTTCTAAAATTTGTGAGTCTTCATCTTCTTCATTTCTAATCTAGCTGCATTTGTGTGCTCTCAGTCATCACCAGGAGCTGGAGAGCAAAATGTATGGCTTCTGTTGACACTCTGTCTGCCTGCTATCACTGTTCAAACCAGACTAAATAAATATTTCAGATTGATAGCCAGTATTTCTAGAAATCTCATCCTCAATATCCGCTTACCATCCTCTGTATTCAAAGACCATACATAGTTATTAGCTCCACCCCCCTTATACCTTCATTATATAGACCATTCTACAGCAGTAGTTCAAATTGCAGTCCCACAGTTAAACAAATGAATGCATAAATAAATAAATAAATAAATAAATAACAATTAAGTATTTAGACCTTAGATATTCACAAGGATTATGTTGTGTTTAAAAACAAGTCATGACTAGTAGTAATACACTAAATAAGTACATAATTATAATTTCTAGCATATTTTCTATTGGACAGTGTCTGTCCCAAACACTAACCCCTAAATTTCAACCTGTGAAAATAATACTGACATTTTTTTCATAAAAGATCTTTTTGAATTCATTTAGAGTGAAGTTGGAAGATTTAGATTTATCAAAAGTGTTTGTTTTTTAGTCCATAGGTGGAGCCTTATTTTAGCCACACCCCTTCATTTTAGAGCAGGAAGTGAGACTGCATCCCTGTCTCTCATGGCCACATGGTGAGCAGTTAGATCTCATTGTTTTGGAGTAAATGTATCCCAAAGTCTAAAAATCAGTGTGTAACATCAAGAATTCTCACTATTGAGACACATTTTCTGCAATTAATTACATTTTTTGTGTATTAATGAAATGATTTTCTGTGTGTACAACTGTTCAAAGCTGTCTTTGCCAATTGTGTTCTGCTAAAATTATTGATTATATAAACATACATTTTTTCTGCACATTCAATTGCACATTTTCTATTGATTTGCTGAGTTTCATATATTAGAAAAAATAAACATGTAACATATACAATGTGCCATAACATTCGCACAGGCCGCATTTTATGATTTTGCAATGCATTAAATTCAGTAAATAAACAGTAATTGTGCATTAAAATGTGCAGAAGTGTGTTCTCCGTAGAGGATGTGTTCACTTACTTTCACTTGGAAAATCAAGAAAACAAATTGAGGGTGCCAAAACTTTAGAACAAACCTGTTCAAACTATCCAGCCTACTGTTCAGCATTTTAGCCCTACTCATTCACAGTACAGTTATAAGGAGTGTTTCAGCCTGGACTGTTTCTTGAATTAGGTGTAATACAGGGCAGCAGATCAGAACAGAGCTTATTTACATAGATAAGTCTTAAAGACACTGTAATATAAACAGCCTGTTTGATTCTGAGAGATAGGAAGAGGCTGGAAAATGGAAAAATGCTCTTGTAAAATCAATTATGATTCTTTTGATACATAAAACCACACAAATATCATGAGGGGACCTCAGTGACAGCAGTCAAATACAGGACAAATGTAGCATATGAGCCCTTTAGTATCTACTAAATTGAAGATGACATTCTAGTAAATCAGTAAACAATTTTTGTTTATCAACATGCTTTTGTTTTGCTCCACTTTTGCAGTGCCAGAAAAATGATTGGTGAGCAAAGAGCAGAGCAGGACATCATTACTGGATGATTGGATTATTCTCTCATCAGCTGCAGAGCCAAGAGTGTCCTGTCTGAGTAGTAGGAGGCTGAGAATGTGTATGTGTGTATGTGTGTTCATGTGTGTTTGTGTGTGTCTGAGGAGCTGTCTCCCATGGCTGTCATTTACTGTCAGCACTCCACCCGGGGCTTCAGGTTGCTAATTGAAAGCCCATTTTGTGTGTGTGTGCATGTGTGTGTATCATTCACACAGACGCACACACACACAGACACACACTGCTGTCTGTCAACTCAATCTGACCATCAGCCCTCTCCATTTGCTTGCCAGTGCGCTCTGAAGAAATTAATGCTGTGACTTTACTTGGCGCAAATGGGCACATTAATAATTCCAATATAAAATGTCATTGCTGTCCTAAGAAAAACAAGTATCTCCAAAATGGCAGCTTTACAGGAGAAGGCAAAAATGTTCTTTACTTTTACTGTAAGTTAATGTAAAGATTATCCCAAGAAATATTTCTATTGGTCAGTCCCTCATGCAATATTCACATAATGTAAATGAGAGCTGCTGAGCTTAAATGACATAAAAAAAATTAAAATACGAAAAAAAAATAGATACTTCTTCTTTTTAGACAGCAAAGATGTTCACAGTTCAGTCTTCAAAGTCAGTTGCATTTTCTGCTTCTCAGAGTATACCTAATTTCCAAACACATGCAGTGATGTTGAGGTCTGGACTCTGGGGTGGTCAGTCCACCGTTCTGAGAACACCAGCAGCTTCTTTGACTTTTAAATTGTCTTCTCTTTTGTCTGTTTCCTTTTCTCAGTAAGGGCTTCTTGACAGCTGCACATCCTTTCAGATGCATAGTGTTGAGTTGTCTTCTCACAGTGGAAGGACGGACAGAAACACCTGTGGATTTTTTTCAGATCTGAAGCAAAAGTGGAGCTTGATTTTCTCCT